CCCATATATGGAGAATAATGAAATTATCGCTTCCGCGTTAGCGCCCCCAACTACGAGAATATCTAAAATCTATAATAGTGACCAACAGAGGGCTCACTACTTATTGTCTATATTGAAACCGCCGTGTGTATTATACAATATTATACACAGGAGCGCACATCACGTTAGATACAGAACGCGCATCGCGTATAACACAAAATGGCTTCTAAATTCTCAATGTCGCAACTCTTTCTATCTATGGCTCTGGGAATACAAACAATGGGACGCCCCTTACGACTGGATCTAAAAAAAACTTCAACAAAACTTTCGTTACCAATCGTCGGAGCGTATTTTATTGTTAAATATCGGTTAGTTGTTGTCGACTTTTAATGAGTAGTAGGCACAGTTCCTTTTAGTACACTGCAAACTTTTATTCACACAAACTGTACGTTGGTTACAATCAGCTAAACTCCAGGTTTCAGATGTTAGAGAAGCCTTTTAGAGTGGAGTCAGCTCAGCTCTGTGCTTTTCTTCTGTGTACTCCTGACTACTAAATTGAATCTAACTACTGATTACTGACTACTACTGACTACTGACTCAGTGATATGGGGGTGTTTGCCTATTATACTTTAGGTAATGGGGGTGTGTCTCAAGTAAGTCACCCCATACTTTTAGAGTTTCTGAAGGACGGCCACGGCCATCGGCGAACCTCCGATCGAGTTCCACAGCGGCAGATCGTAGCTGTTGGTAAGCAGCTAGTTCACGAGGTTCTTCGTACTATCTATTATCCAGTGTCTTTCCTCCGGTTTCGAATTCCTGTACTCGGTTTCCATGCCGGGCACGTACACGAGGTTGGCAAGCTCGAACGACGTGAGCACCGTCTTTTCCAGGTTGGCGATCTCTTCGAGCCGACCGATCTCCGGCGAGGTGGCCGCCCCAACGGCGGTCTGGGTGTGAATCAGAACCGATCTGCTCGCTCTGAATTCCGTCATGTCCTCCACGGTTGCGTTTGCGTTCATAAAGTTTTCTCGGCCGCAGGTTCTCGTAACGAGCTCGCCGTTCGAAAAACCCGATGCGTTTATCTCGGCCGTTATCGCATTGGCGTCGGTCTCCATCTTCCATCGGACAAAGAGGTCTTTGCGTTCTCGCAAGAAATCCAGGTCGCACTCCACATGATGGAAAGCTCTCCTCAACATGTTTCAACTCGAATTAGTTAAAAACCAGAGAAGTTGCTCCGTTTTTATTAACACCGTTTTCTTGTCTCTTTCGCAGATTCTAGCTCTGAAACACGTGGTCGCCACAGTCGACTCGCCATGACGTTCATCCTGTGGTTGGCTTGAACCTGCTTCTTTCGATCTTGATTATTATGTTTAAAACTAATAAAATGTTAGAATAGAATATGTGTTTTCTCAAATGTTTTTTTTTATTTTCGTAAGTGTCGTACACCGCTTCCTAGTCGAACGTACGGCACACGCAACACGTCGTGATACAACATGCGCACACCCGCACGCAATAAAGTGACGGCACGGCTTGTCTAGGACGCTTACAGGAGCGTCGAAACATATCGTGCAAGGAAAGAGTGGTGGCAGAACGAAGTATTCGCACTCGCTTTCCTTGCGGTCGGGCAAAAAATATTTGCAAAACGCCACGATTCTCTTTCCAACCATCAACTACTCTCTCGACATGATGCGAATAGAAATGAAAAGATACGATTACAATTTTTATTGCTTTTAAAATCTTTATTAAAAAAAAAAAAACTATAATAACTGTTCAACTTCTCCCGGATACCGATAACGAAACTTGCCAGATCAATTCCTGCATTTACTCATTCAATCCGGAAAACGTGGTAGCCAGTCGCTCAGTCTCGGCTCTCGTCATAGAGAGTTCCTGTCTGATGATTCGATTGCGTTCGGATATCGACTCGAGATCGGCTTTCATGCGAGCGATCTCCATGTCGCGTTCGGCAACGGCCGCTGCCAGACGGCCGGTGTGATAAGTTGGTTTTTCGGCTCTGAGCATTTTTCGTCGTCTAACCGGCAGTTTCGAAATGGCGTGTACGTTTGGTAATCAATCGGCTT